GGTCTTATACAATTCCCCACCACAAGAGAGTTAATTATTACAAACGAGTGAAAGCCGGCCTCCGAATATTTCCGTAATTATATGTTTAGACCTCGGACGCTGAAGAAGCTTGACAATCGGGAGGATTACTCCGGAGCATCTCAAACTTAGGTATTTACGGAAAATTGTGATTTGGTGTAAGGAAGATTCGTAGGGAGGAAAATCGAGGAAGCTTCTTGGAGCGGAACCCCGTCAATAAGCGGGTTCCTGCCGCCTGTTCTCCTATAAATGATCGCATTCCTGCAGATCTGGGACGCCGTCACACTCTCTCGTGATCGAACACACGCACAAAAAAGCTGCGCTTTTCTCAGAAGAAATGGTAAAAGTAATTTCGACAGGCTTCATGCGAGTCAACACAAACCGACTCAAACTGGGAAACCGTAGCGCATGATGACACTCAAGCATTACGCAAAAATAATTATGTCTTGTAAGTATGTAAAACGCCAGTCCAATTTAGAACTTCTGGTCAAGATTGCCCGTTATGATACTTTCTGAACAAACCGCAGATGAACCCATTTCTCCTTAGTTGTTCTCCTTGTTAGTAACAATAAGATTTCTCGTTTTCTGAACTTTTACTTAAATAATTTTATCTGTACCTTATCCTGTAAATACACAATTGAATTTTTTAAGATTTCCACTTGCAGTCTGCGGGGTGATAAAGCTATTGTTTGATAGTTATCTGACATCTTGATTTTCCTACCCTCGTTCATTTTTTGGTTCAGACGCGTTTCGCCATCTTCAAGGCTGTGTTTCATTCCTGGCCGTGGACTGTAGTACTTGCGACCTCAGAATTACCTCCCGTCCTCGCGGGAATCGGACCGCCGAAGCGTATAGCAATCGAGGAGCTAAGACTGCGCTGATGGAGGCCCTTGTATGCGTGAGGAATGGTGGACCTCTGGGCTGCCTTTACCGAAGGAATGGTCTTCCCTAGGAGGTGATTAGAGATTACACTTAAATCGAAACCGTGTTCGGAGAGCATCCGGAGGTTTCGACGCTGGCGGAGCCTCTACACCCAGGGAGATAGAGTTGTCTTCTCTGTCTAGGGAGTGCGTGGGAGATTTGGTCCATGGCCATTTTTGGTTATCCCTTTACGCGCGGCACTGGTTAAGTGCACAACGTTAACCCACCCACTCGGAAGGGGAGAAATGTCGGCAGCATTCTGCAGGATGATGTGGGCTTCTACACCGAACCTCGCGAAGAATTCCGTGCGCGGAGGTGAGTCGCTCCTAACTTGAGAACGTGTGATAAGGCCTATGTGCCAGGTGTGCACGCCGTCTTCAGCGTTTGGATGATTTTTACGTTATTTGAATTTTGTGGAAATCTGGAATTTAAAAAAAAAAAAAAATCACCCTTCAACACTGGCAAAATATCAGCGAGTGTAGGCAAGATGATCGATAACTACCAAACAAAAACGAATTTGTCGAATTTCCTAAGACGCATTCCAACATTATTAACCTAATTAAACGGAAAACTCTAGAAAATGCGCATCCTGGGGGAAAGTCAATTTCTAAAGACGATACGGGCTGTTTCTCTCCGATGGATTAATATCTCGTTAATGCGGATTAACCGCCTGTTATGAAAGTGCAAAAAAAAAGTTTCCTGAAGAAACCTGAAGAAGAATTTTTATCACACTATTGCGCAAGTGGCATTAAAGTGCGAAGTGCTAATGTTAAAATTATTTATGACACCTTGCACCGTTAAAGAAATGCTGTTTAATATCACTTGAACAGGCGAAGAACCGGGGACTTACTATGTTAAGTGCTCGCGACCAAAAGCCTGGTGATGTAAGCGAATGGACTTTTTCTGTTTTGAACCTGGAACATCAACGGGTTTGCGTGTCGAGAAGAAAAATTCCAAGAAAATCAGCGATAAATGTTTATTATTTATTCGTCAAAACGAAGCCGGTCACTCAACTCGTACCCGAGCTTTTTTATTTCCGCAAAAGTTAATAAAGAACCTGTTGCTGAATCGAAGCTTTTATTACCACAATAAGATGGAGAATACTGCTAAAATCCGGCTTAAGGAAACAGAAGGTGAACGTACCTCTGGAAAAAAAAGACGATGGGAGAGGTAACGATTAAATCTAATTGCCCCCAGCGAATTGTTTAATTACAAATGTGAAAGATCCCCAGTGTTGAAAAAAGCCAGAATTCCCTTTCATCACCACGTCCAGGGGCTTTTTAGACGAGCGTGACCGAAGCGGCAGGACAACTAACGGGTTCCAAACACACGGCCGTCCATTGTCGAAATTTTCCATGAGAAACTACTGTTTGGTGTTATTAACTGGCTCAACATTGTGTCCGTTAAATTTTTGAAATATACTTTTACCGGATAAGTGACTCAAGAAGGAAACAAATTTACCCAACTTGCCAAAACCAAGCTGGAAAATTCACACTACCAAACTACTATCACTACTAAAAGTTTTTTTAATTTTATTTTGTCTATTTATCCTCGCAGTTTTGGTGGTATGTTAGCCTACTTATATCCCAGATAAATTAGTAATGAAGGCAAAATGTGGAAAAGCGTCTGGCAGACCAAAACAGCCTTACAAGGATCAAAATGGCCAGAAACGACCGAACATCTTCTGTTTCATTTGGCCATGTTTGTAAAGGTCAGAAACTGGACTTTCGAAAATCTGGTAATGAACAGAAGGCTCGATAAAAAACTACTTTTCTGGGACATTTCTTGTAAGGAGAGGAAAACAGCGAGAAAAGGCGGACCAAGATTTTCAGAAACTACCTTTTTGTTTTGTTTTATTTGTCCATGATTGTAAAGTTCAAAAAACTGGTTTTTTTCGCAGTTAAAAGTTTATTTTTTGAATAGGTTATTGTGTCGGACGTAGATAAGTTAGATAACAAAATGAATTTATTTTGGGGCCATCAAAACAGCGAGAAAAGGCGGACCAAGATTTTCAGAAACTACCTTTTTGTTTTGTTTTATTTGTCCATGATTGTAAAGTTCAAAAAACTGGTTTTTTTCGCAGTTAAAAGTTTATCTTTTGATTAGGTTATTGTAATGGACGTAGTAAGTTAGATAAAAAAATGAATTTATTATGGGACCATCAAAACAGCGAGAAAAGGCGGACCAAGATTTTCAGAAACTACCTGGTATCTTCTGTTTTATTTGTCCATGATTGTAAAGTTCAAAAAACTGGATTTTTTCGCAGTTAAAAGTGTGTATTTTGATTACTTTATCATGATGGACATAGGTAAGTTAGATAAAATATGGATTTCTTATGGGACGAGCAAAACAGCGAGGATAGGCGGACCAAAACAGTCGGAAACGACCCCATTTCTTTTGCCTTATTTGTCCATGTTTGCGAAATTCAACAAAACTGGTTTTATTTTCAGCTAAAATATTCATATTTCGATTAGTTTCTGGTACCTAAGTATGTTAATTAAAATACCTCTTTTCTTTGGCATTTCTTGAAGAGAAAGTAAAATAGCTAGGACAGGCGGATCAAAATGGTCGGAAACAATATCTTCTGTGTTTTTTGTTCATGATTATGAAGTTTAAATAAATGGATTTTTTTACAGTTAAAATTGTAAATTTTGATTAAGTTCTTGTGACGGACAAAGAACGTATTGTGAGCAGGGCAAAACAGCGAGGGCAGGCGGACCAAAAATCGGAAACGACAATATTTCTGTTGGTTTATTCTTCATGCTTGCGAAATTCAATAAATTGATTTTGTTTGCTTCTAAAATATACACTTTCTTCTTCTAAGGTGAAAGGTTCTTTAAAAGGCGACTATTTCAGGACATTTCTTGTAGAAAGGAAGGAGAGGTGAATCAAAATGGCCGGAAATGACCAGAGAGCATTTGGTTTATTTGTCCAAGCTTTTGAAATTCAATAAACTAGATTTGGTTGCAGTTAAAATATTCAGATTTTGATTAGTTTTTGGTAAAGAACGGAATGTACTATAAAGGACCTTTTACTAGACATTTGTAAAGGAGGACAGGCGGACCAAATTGGCCGGGAACGACCAGGAACCTATTTTTCTCCCAGAAACGCCTGTAAGGGAAAATCAGACTGACAAACAGAAGAACCACTGAAGATGGCGACATACCAAACAAGCGAGGATGAGCGGGCCAGGAGAATCGGAAACGACCGTTATATCCCACGAGAAAATATCACAGAAAATAAATTATGAAATTGATTTAAGTCTACAGAGTACTGAACCTATAAGGTGGCCATTTCTAATCATCCAAGTCCTATCTTCGCTGGTTATGTCTGCCCATTGCAAAACAACAATAAAAATTATACGTGTTTTGATAATATGAAAAAAATACAGAAAAATAACTGGAATCCTGCTATCCCTAATAAAAGGCTTTCTTGGTTACAGAAACTGTAACTAACGACTTAATACACTTAAATACAAATAAATTATTAAAGAAAATGCTTTAATGTAACAAATCGTTCTTCATTTACAAAGAGTAGATCACATGGTTCTATGCAGCCTTGAAGAGCAAAACCAAACAAAATTGGGCAGGACATACTTACAAGTAAAAAAAAATTGACCTAAAATTTAAAAAAAGCTAACTTGATCTATTTAAAACAAAATAAGCTCTAATTTTTTTTTCAAATTGGAGATGATTTTATAAAAGGTAATATTCCCAAAGGTCCTCCATCTAGAGTTAAAGCAGAAGATAAAAATGGACTTTTCTCCCATGTCCTTCGGTCTTGAGGTATTCAAACTAAATTCCAAAACTGGTAGGCCATCATTATACACAAAGACAGCCTCTTGATGATCGGCTCTTATTAAATCTAGGTTGTAATTTTCGATCCGCGTCTACATCCATCTCCGTCACGTCGTTAACTCTCGGAACGCGATTTCTCCACTGGCCGAGACTGCTTTTGAGAAAATTGCCGAGCTTACACGGATTGTCTGATTGCGTGATCATTTATAATAGTCGTAACTATGTGGATCGAAGAATATTTTATAACGTGATATTTAGACTTGCCTTAAGCGCGCAGAATATGCAGGAGTCGAGCATGCAAGTGTGGCCGGAGAGTTCCCTGAAGCTCCTTCTGAAGATGTCCAAGTGCCATAGAACCTGAAAGAAAATAAAACCAGTTGAAAAAAAAACGCGTAAAACTGCAATCCTACGGAAGCAAAAGTCACGATTTTGAATAATTAGCGTCAAAACGTCAGGGCGGAAATGGGACCTCCCGAGTATTGAATGGGACTTTCTGAATTGCCCCCTCCGGACGGAAAGGACTTTGAATAAACAAGCATAATTATACACTTTTTTTCTGTTATCAATAGTTTCCATATCATCCTTGTTTCCTCTTTCATCTGAAAATAGACAACCGTCTATTTTTTTCCACAGCTCATACGCAGAAATATACATTTTTGTTCAATTTTGACAGAAAAATCCTCGGTAAAATAATGCTTCATCCTTAAAATTTTAATTAGGGTATTTATGGTAATATTGCCTCGTGTTAAATGTACTATAAAGAAATATATATTTTCATCATTTAAATATGTGCTAAGATGTTAAACAAAGCTAATCGTAGGTTTTCCAATGTTTTATGACGAATAACGATTGTTTTATATATTTTTTAACCCATTATATTTAGTGATCTATTGACCAAATTACTTCTTTCAATTAATTCATCTTTTTTTGTAAGGTTTTGGTTGAAATGAAAAAAGTGTCACGAGAGGGATTCGAACGGAAGGTCGTGGGTTCTAATCCCTCTCGTGACACTAACTTTTTCATTTCAACCAAAACCTTACATAAAAAGATTTTTTACCGCTGAAGATATGTAAAAAGGGGTCTTTTTGTGAACTCTGTTGCAAATAACATGTGCTAAAGTAAGGCCAAATCTTGAAAGTATATCATGAAATAGCACATTTGCCCAACGGCTAGCAGACCTCAAATATTGCTAGTGTCTTCTTCCTCACTAGGGAGGAAATCGCGAGGCCATTGGTGCTAAAAGGCGTCTTAGAGGATTGTCGAAAAGTTTTAGGGATGAAAAGTGGAGGGCTTTCGAAAAATTTTCCATAAATTTCTGGAGACTCATCGACATCTTGTGATTTCGAGGACAAATGGAACAATTGAACTATTTTTTCAAAGTAGAGATGATGCTTTTCTGACGATCACTATTGGGTCTAGGTTTGAATATATCAATAGGAATGTCTGCTTTTAGTTAAAAGACGATGGGCCCAAAGATTCTGCCTTGTGTAACACCCGCTTCGGCATAGTGGAAGGGCAGATGGTAGAAAAAATATTCCGATTCGTACTTAAAATTACCTATCGGACAGGTATATAATAATTAGAAGATTGAAGTATTTTTTCGATATGTTTAATTTTTTTTTAAATCTAGCTGCTGTCACTATATTTTAGTATTGTATAAGCTAGTGATACATATTTAGACTGCTTCTCAGGAAGATTCTTTCGCCTAAAGCTTAGAACTGATCTAATTTCGAAACAAGTCCCTTCACAATTAGTGTGCTAGATTTCTGAATACCACTATTGGGTATGGGTTGGCATGTATGAGTAGTAATGTTATAGTGATTGATAGGAATGTTTGAAGCGTGTAGTGAAAAGAGGAGCGGACTAAAGATTCTGCGTTGCATAACGCACGCTTCACGGTGGATGGATAGAAGGGAGAAGATATTCCGTTTCGTACTTGAAAGTAACCTGCCAGTGATTCAAATTTAAGCTCTTGCACAGAAAAATTCTTTCACTTAGCGACTAAACCTGACCTGATTTTGTACATGCCCCTTCACAATTAGTCTGCTTCAATAAGCCTAATGGGTTATGAAAGTGCTTTGCTTTATTTTTAATTTGTGAAACCCGTCGAAGTGAATGGTTTGATTGTCAAATCTTTTATTTTTTGGTCTGGTTTTTCTCTTTCTATCGATTAGGAAACCTAGAGCTTGCAGTCCTCAATCTTTTTTGACAATGGGTCCAACGATCCTTGAACTTTTCAGACAATGGGCCACGAGTGCCATGGGATATGGGACGCAGTAGTGTTTTCGTCTTAATATAACCAAATCGGCTAAACGTGAAAGCGTGAGCCCGTGGGATTTCCACTTAAAACGAAATAGGAGCTTTACTGCCTATCCGTGATTTTACAACGCCAAAAGCACAAAGTACGCCGAGAGGCAATGACTTTATTACGGTTGGAAGGGTACGCTGTGACTAATTCACCTCTCGTCTCCGCTGTAATTTAATGCACGGCTAGAAATAATATAACTCTTATTTTCCTTTGAAAAATTCCCCGGTTGATTATAGAGAGAGGGTGCTTTATGCAAACGAGATACCGATCCGGCCATCTTCCTTCGGATTTTCATATCCATGCCATCCATACGTTTTCAATCGAGCTTGGAGTTGAATAATTATGTTTATTTTTACAAATGTTCCTCTACTAAAAAAACTTCATTAATCAACAACCGTTCATCAACCTAACTGTTCTTTAAGCAATAAATTAAAATAAAAGCCCGTTAACGGTGTCACAACATAATTAAAAGGTCCCTTTAGCCCCATAGCATGACGTGAAAAATAATTTTGTCGAGACCTCAAAATATATTTTATTCGTAAGTTTTCAATAGATGTAACGGATTAAAATAATTAATTTGATAATATATTAACAAGGGAAAATGCATGGGAACGGACGAAAAGCTAACGAGAATCACTAACGAGACCTTTTCAAATTTTCATTAAGGTGTAGACTAAATTATGAAAAGTGCACATCTAATTATAAATAGAACTTTGCACTCGTGATGAATAAGTTTCTAATTAAACATCTTTGAAGCTCTCTGAAACTGCATTTCCTTTTCTAGGAATAATTGGTGGGATTAATAACAATACTGTGCAAAAAGTAAAAAATAATACAGGGCAAAAGAAAATCGAAACCTGAGGGCATTTTATCACAAAAAGACCAATTTTTATCAATTACTAATTAACATTTTTGTACGAGAGCAAACGAGTATGAAATTTATTATAATATTCTGTATATGTACTCATTGTGTACGAAATATCACTTTAGACTTTATCTGAAGTCTTTATTTTTCTGTGATTTTGACATTTCAATTTTATAAAGCCAAAAAGGAAAATAAAATGCAGGCTTAGTTTACTTGTTCCTTCTAGATTTTTAACTGGCAACAAAAATTCCAATTCTTCTCAACCCTTTCAGCCCATTGTAGTCCTGGGGATAAACTTTAAATCGACATAGGAATCTTTCCAATCGATTATATTTAAAAAAGTCTTAACCCTTAGGGAAACGCTTTTTGATAACATTTTGGCAGTCTTATCACGTAAGGCAAGCTTTTTAAGTTTTTATTTTATTTCTGTTCATCATCTCTTTCCACCACGTCGACCTAAGACCTCCTCGACTAAGTCGCATTTTATTTATTTTTCCATGTTGCCACCTTTAAATAAAAATTACTTTACCAAGCTTTAAAGTGTTGGAAAAATGTAGATTTGGCGAATATAAAAGTTACTCGGTGAGAACAGCAGCTTTTGAAACTTACATTGCTTTGGGTAACAAGTGGAACGATTTCAATTCTCATAATTATTCATTGAATAAATTCTAAAATAGTGTTTTCAGAGATATTAGGCATTTGTGAGATTTCCTCCTCTGGTCTGAGGTGGTGGTGTACTTTTAATTGGGTTCACCTTTCGTTCTGCCTGACCGAGCTGGGCTGGTCGGTCAGACGCGTTTCAGGGTTTCGTCATATTCCGCCCCGCCCTGCTTATAACCCTGACCAACCACTGATGGCGAGAAGCCTGCACCTCATGGACGACAACACGAGAGGCAGACCAAATGATTGTTTTTCTAGTCATTCATTAACGTAACCGCAAAGGCGAACCATCAAAAACGTCATCCTCAGTGTGTCTCGCTAAGATGGCGAAATGCCGAAATGATCGTTAACGACCAAACCAAGTTCATCCTATTATTTGTTTTAAAAAGCACTATTTTTATAAATATATAGAATATAAAAGTGCATAATTACTAAAAATTTATTTATTTAGCTATGTTTTATGGGCATAATGAAATTAGTCAAGCTTATAATACTTAGGACCGGAAGAAGTGGTCTGAAGTAGCTTTCCCAAAATACTGTCAACCCTTCTGCATCAGAATTGGAAGAATTTGATGATGATGATGATGTAGAAGAAATTCTCGAGGGAAGAGTCCAAATGGAATTTACGAGTCAATATGACCTAGTCAGAAATATTCAATTTGTCTAGTTTTACTTATTGCCTTTTACTCAATTATTTTTTGTTAATGTCGAATATAAACTTCTAAACTTGTTTGTTTAGTTTGTGCAAACAAATAAAAATTAAAAATTGTTTATTCCATCCCTTGAGTTCCACTGTTGCCTGAGGGTTATAAAATTTCAAAAATTTCAAATACAATATTAAATCCACTTCATAAATAATTAATTGAACTGATAAATATCCTTTTTTAAATTATTGAAGTTTACTCATTTCTTCTGTTTATTCGACCGACAAAAATATACGTTGAAATCAATTTCCCAACTAAATTCTTCTCCAGCAACTAAGTATATGGAACCGACAAATTTTCTTTTTTAATAGATTCAATAGTTTAATGGACAAAATATACGTTCACCAAATAAAATCTTCTCTAAAAATAAAGAAAATCAAACTGATCAGTCAGCTTTAGAAAATTGAAGAGGTTCTCAATTCTATGGCTATCACCAGACAATATTTATCCCAAACTACCGAATGTTCTCTCCATATCAAATCTAAAAAAATTAGTTAGTTCATCTGCTTGACTGTCAGCACTTACTGGCAACTTTGCCAAACTGGAGGAGGTTCCTTTGCGATGAGGTATCCAAGGATGAACCTATTGGGTTGTCCGGAAAATAATGCAGGATTTTAAGTTTTCATTAAAAAAAATCTATATAAAATATTCTGTTTACGTTTACAGGATTACTCATTTGTATGAATGTCANTTGATTAAAGAACATTGCTTTAAAGTAACTAGTTTCTTTTTTTTTGTTTAATACCAAAATCCTGCATTATTTTCCGGACAACCCAATACAATGTCATACTCTTAGGCGTTCCTAAAACAGTCCAACTGA